ACTTTAAGTATAAGTTATATTTAAATTCATTATCGTTATTATGAACCTATAATCAAGATTTATCAGTGATTCAAAGTCGTTATACTGATTGATCTACTTACGGGGATGATGTCTAGGTTGTGATTTAGTGAGGTGTTTAAAGTGGCCTTTCCAAACAGTATACTTCGTATACCACACAGACCCTACCTCCGATATGATCCTACCTAGTTGTTTCTTACTTGATAGATCATGAAAGTAGACTTTGAGTTAATGGTGAATCTAGACTAATAATTAGTCGTAATAAATATTAGACTAAATTTAGTGATAATAATACTAGGTTTTGTCGAAGGAAAAGAAATTGTTAGGAGCGAAGCGCTGCCTGAATTTTAAGTCATCACTTTAACAAGTGAGTGCATAATTACTTTCATCTTACACATAGATATGAAGTATTTAACATAAATTACATGCTATATGTGCCTATTATCTGTGTTCTTGATATCTATGCTGGATGAACGATTTATACACATTTTACTTGATTTAAACTGTATATGTATTTTATACCTATAAATATGTTGGGTAAAGATGGGTAGATGATATAGATGATGAAAGATGAAATAAAAGATGAGAGGCCTTGATGCTTAAGCTGATCCAGTCATCTAACGAAGTATAGATGACGACCACAGATTATTCTAGACAGTCCAGTGGAACGCTGGCAGGCTCGCAACCTGTAGGTGTTTTTGAACTACGTGTTCACCAGGTGTACTCCATCCCCTCATGGTTTCCTTACTGACATATATTGTTGAGGAATCCCCTAAGCAGTATTGTCTTCCCGATGATAATCCTTAGGCTAGGTCCCTTGAATTATATGCTTTCGGGACAGAAAGTGAGGATAATCGGAACGGGTAATCGGGTTGAATGATTTGATGAAATTAAAGAACTTAATTATTGTGGGTTGAAAACACTATGTGCTCACCATGCTTCGAAGCCTGAACCACTCAGTTTCTTGTATTATAGGTAGTGGCAAAAGAGCACAGGAGTGTTGATCTGATGAGAGATCTATGGATTATAGGCCATTAAAATAATAGATATTTGTAAGGCCTGTATTATTTTTGTTTATGTTTATGTATTGTATTGACAATGACATCTCAACGTTTTAATATAATTAAAATATGCTTTGATAATATCTTTATCAAATTTTTGGGAACAAATTCCGCAACATATTTGTTCAAAAGGATAATCTGATTTTCAAATAAAGCATAAACAAATCGTTCTTTTCTGGCTGTGAAATTGGGAATGTCACATGCGTAACTCTTGCATGTGTTATGTGTTTATATGTTTACCGCACGGGGCCCGATGAATATCATGTGTGTTATTTATCTTTGTGATTATTACATGTGTTTATACTATTATATGTTTATTTATTTATATGTATACTGAGCGGGGCCTAATGTCATGCGGGGCCTGATGATTGACAGATCTGTATACCAAGCGGGGCCCGATGACGGGCGGGGCCCATTATATGTTTGATATGTATGGTATGTAGTATTTTTAAGAACTCACTAAGATTTGTGCTTACGGTTTTCAGTTTATGTTTCAGGTACTTCTGGTTCGAAGGGGAGAGCCCGAGTTGACTGTAGTACACATACCACATCGTTCCATATTTTATTACTCTGATGTACTTGGATGTTATCGATACACTTTAATTCACCATGGTTTTATGATGTTGTTTGGATAATGGATTTTAATAAATTTAAAAATCAAAATTTTTAGTCTTAATTTTTGGGACGTTACATAATGAGTCTATATCTCTAAACCTAGATCCTTAATGACAACTTAAGGTATGGACTCAACCATTTAGCTCTTAATAACCAAGGCCACAAATCCATAACTTCCAGAAGAACTTCTTACTTTTATTCCAACATAAAAATCGTAGCTTTATGGACATCCATGTCCAATACAAGTCGAGATCTCAAATTAACTAGGTCAAAATGGTGAAATGAGACCAAGAGGTCATACATGGAACTCAATACACAATCAAACTTCAGATCCAAAAGATATAGTGACGAAGGGACCAAGGTGAGCTATAAAGTTGCAAACTTTATCTCATCAAACCAACCCAACTCGAATATGAGCCAAGAAATGCAATAAATCTTAGATCTATGAAGATAAAACCAAAAAGGTGGACGCTTTATACCTTCAAAAGGTCCACAAGATGCATGAGGTGCAAGATCTGAGTGATGTACTCTTCCAACTAGCAAGCACACCTCTCCTTCTTCCAAAATGCAAGCCAAAGCTTTGAACTTCAATAATCACCATTAATACAACAAGAATCACTCCAAGGAGGCTAGGGTGTCATTTGAAAGGGTTGGAGATGTGTGGCTTCAATATGGTACCATGAGCGCTAGATGGTCCAACCTTGTACTGATCAAATAATATGCTCATCTAGAGACTAGCTTTAAACAAAATTACCACCAAAGAAATTTGCAAGATATGGATATTGATGTCCCATGTTCTATGTACCCGAGTTATGATGATGTCATAGAATCAATTAATCACATTTTCTTTCTAGTAGTTTTGCGGTTCACATGTGGTCAAAGATCTCTTAGTGTCTTGATTTCCCTTCCCTCGAATTTTTTGTTTTAATTCCAGCCAATATATTTTATTCCAATATTTTCCATTCCATTTCAAATGGATTCTAGTCGTGGAAAATACAAAAAAAAAATAAAAAAAATAAAAAAAATGCTTCAAGCCAAAGATAAAGCCATCGAAATGAAAGCTAAATCAGTTCACCAGATTTCTCATTTTCTATTTCCAAAACCAAATACCAAATTATCCCCAATTCCATAATATCAACACCAATATAATCATCTTCCGATGCAACATTCATATAACCAATATCAGATTTTTCTATATCATTCTAGTTTTAATCCGTTCCCACAATATTAATATTCCATGCTCAAAAAGTCAACTCCCATATTCCATTCCCAAAGCATCGCCATTTCGTGATGCTTAAAACGACATATGCTCAAAACCTCAAAAACCCAACCCATCCTTCAAACCTAAAACAACGAATCAAGCGACGAACCGCAACACATCCAGAAACCCTTAAGAAATTATACCTAATGTAAAAAATATAGAAAATTGTATGAAAAGGAATAAGTGGCATTGGAAAAGAATTATATCGACATTTCAAAATACACGAAACATTGAAATCACCAAAGACCGTATTCTTTGTGGGATCAAGTTCTAGAAAACTCCATATAGCATCTAGGGTTTGGATCGTTCTAGGCATCAACTGAACTCCAACTGGAATGATTTACAAACGAAAATTAATAATTTCAATTGCATCTATAACCAAAAGTTGAATAGTCGTGCGAGCGGATGATCAGGCGTCGATATTTTAAAGTCGACATAAGTGAGTATCGAAAACTCTTTAAAATGAAAGCTTTTCCATACGAGGAAACATGAAATATTTTAAAATCCCACTTGAAATGGTTAAATGTCGAAAAAATGGGTGAAAATCCCTTCCATCCAAAAGGACCGAAACATTTAATTCCAACATGTATACAACCACTTCAGATGCACAATTTCCATATGAATTCGACGAAGAGGCTAAAGATTTTCCTATTGAAACAATGAAACTGTCACAACAAAAAAGGAAGAAGGCGACATCGACATCCTCTCAGTTGCATAAAATGACAAACATCGTAACCAAAATCGTCGACCTCACCCATAGAATCGATGAACAGGCGGATGACATAAAGCAATAACGAGCTGATAGATAGTGTATCACGGAAATGAGTGAGCAAAATAAAGTGACACACTTGGAGAAGGAGTTACGGTTGCTCAATGAAAAAAGAATGAAAAGAGATTTGTGGTTCTTTATTCAACCTCATGATCATTTGACCGGAAGAATGTTCAATGCATGCTCGCTACCAAATGGTAAATATGAATGATTTATGGTTGAGAGTCCTCGGATTTCATTTTAGGATTTAATTATTGTTTTAAGAATTTAGTTTCTGTTTTACGTTTTTAGTTAATGTTTGGATTTTATATTTAAATGTTATCTTTTAATTTTATTTTAGTTTTTTAATTTTAGAAAATGTTTTAATTTAAAAAATAAAATAAAATTGTGTACGCTGTGAAAATGAAAGAAGAAAGTAAATGATATGTGAGTTGGGAGAGATGGAGTCACATTCATTGTAATAAGCCTCAACCTTAGAACAAATTATAGTTAAAAAAACTACTTTATTTTTTATGTATACAATGACTAGCATCACTAACATGTATAAGACATAATTCAATTATCTAAATGAAATAAATAAAATAACTAGGTACAATTTTATGATTTGACTCTCTTGATGGGTTGATGGGGGTGGGTTCGGGTTAATTGGAAAAAAAAGGAGTATGGTTTTTTGTGTTTGGCAGGTTGCTTTCTTTGCGAAACGTGCTTCGATTCCTTTTAGCTTTTTTCTTTCTTTTTTCTCTTTCAGTCCTTTCCCTTCACTATATACACCCTACTTTTGTTCCCCATTAAACACAAAATCTCGACGTTTTATAGTGGTAAGGTTTTAGATCTTGGTTTAATTTATAACAATGGTTTAGTTTTCAAATATTTTTCTCGATTAAATTGGAATAAACTGGTTTCAAATACATACCTGAGTTTTAATTTGACATGAAAAATGCTACTACACTTTTCAAACTATAAAAATATAACTGCCATGTAAGTTTGTACACATGTACAGCGCAAAATCACAAAATAGAAAATTTCAGAAGCAAGAAGATGTATGTTTATGATCGTGAAAAGCGATAAGACCTATCGTTCCAAACCAAAAATTAAATATATAAAAGAAAATTCGAAATATTATATCTGAAATTATTAATAATCTTGAATTTCCATTAAAATGTATGCGAGAATAGTTAAATCGATAGACATAGACCAAATTAGAATTAGAATATATAATTCATCATAAAACATGTCACATGAATCTCTTTAGAAAAAAAAAACATTTTTATATATACTTGGACTTAATTTATGACAAGAAATTGATGCGTATTTTCCATTTCCATTTCCCTCTTAAATAATCAAAATAAAATGCACATAATTCAATTCTATACACCAATTAAATTGCAAAATAGGTGCTCGTATCAAATTTAAATCGAAAAAATGGGATTTTTATGTAGCAAAAATCCAGTCATGAACTTCAATGAAGATGTTGAGGATGCTGCTCCGGCCATGGCCAAAAAGCCTGTTGATCTTCAATACCATTGAACATGTTACAGAAGCCTTCGTTTCCAACTGTTTGGTTTAATCGTTGGCTAAGAAGATCTGTTGTTGAAGAATTTTGTAGGAATTGTGTTAGACCCGATGAATTTTGACCCATAGATGACATTGTAGGGTACATGTTGTTTGATATTTGTGTGTAAAATATCGGGCTCTCTTCCGATGGTGTCATGGTGCCTGCTACTGTGTTGAGATCGCAGCTATTTTCACTTCCATTACTCCATGATCCTTCTGTTTCTTTGTTTAGATTTATGGGTCTAACCCCATTTGATTGATCTCCACCTTTTACAGCCAATAACTGAAGAAAAAAAAAATATATGAATCTTGATGATTAAACATGTATCTTTAACCAATTCTAGAACTACCCATGTTGTAAAGATTCGACTTTTGAAAGAATTTATAATGATTTCGAAGAAAACAATAGATATTAACAATACCCATGTAAAAGTTTTCAAGAATTCATCAATTAAGTTACTGTATTGTAATTCTTACCTCTGCATGAAGTTTCTTGTTTAGGTTCTTGAGAGCATCATTATCAGCTTTCACAGACTCAAACTGTCTCTTCAATATATCATAATCTTTCTCCAATTGTTTGGTCTTCCATCGAGCCCTTCGGTTTTGAAACCATATGGCAACTTGCCTTGGTTGCAACCCAAGAGCCCTAGCGAGTTGACTTTTCCTTTCGGGTTCGAGCTTATTACCTAATTCAAAGCTCTTTTCAAGAGCTTTAACTTGTTCCAAATTTAACCTTCTCTTCTTCTCTCCAAGCTGCGATCCATCGTCTTCTGACATGTCATCATCGGCTGCACCATGACCTCGCGTTTCTTCACACCTGTCTATCCCGGAATAAGACATGGATCTTCTCATCAAGAGTGTCTGAACACCTACATACACACAATTATTTAAGAAACTATGGCAAACCCATTAAATTATATAACCTTATGATTATACTTGATGATCAAGAAACCCACATGCAGATCTAGAGAGAGAAAGAGAAGGAAAAACCTTGGAAGTCATGAGGAGGGTGGTGGTCATCTTCATAGCCAAAAAACATGGGTTCAGGTGGGAGGAAGGACATGTCAGTGGGGGGAAAAGAAACCTTCTTTTTAATGCGTAAAGTTAGGCAAAACTCACAGAGCTCACAATAAGCTGCTGAAATTGATAGCTGTCTGCGTGTATAATCCGAGTACTCTTATGGGTATGGATCTTGGAAGTAGAAAGGAACATGGGGGTGGCAAAGACACTAGAGAAACAGCAATAAGCTCTTTTTTAAACCTCAAAGAGATAAGAGATGGGAGTGGGATGGGGTAGGGTGGGGCGGGGGCGGGGTAGGGTGGGGTGGGGTGGCTTTTTCAAATATTTGATTTTATTGCAATTTCCTTACAGATTCTATATATTCACCTGCAATGTGATGCTAATTTTTTATATCAATAATAATAATATTTAGTTAGAAAACAAGCTCACTAGTGTCATTATCTTATTTCATAGTTTTAATTAATAATTTGAGCTAGAACTAATATTTTGGAAAGTTAAAAGAACCCCTAAACCATAAACGGATTTGGTTTTATCTTTTATGTGAAAGAACTCACTAAGTACTATATATTTGTGTTTTGATCATGTATTCACAATTAAGTAACGGAATGTTAAGAATTATGGAAACATAATCTAACATTATATAATGCACAATAGACTTTGTTTGTAAATCGAAGTTTTTTTACCGAGCATAATTCGAGGATGGCTTTTTTTAGCTTTTAGGATAGGCATAATTCAACTACTACCAAATATGTTTGCCTAATCATAAAGTGCATCAACAAACAATGCCTAACTAAAGTTTGAACTTGATAGCCATGGATCATGAGGTCCGAATTAGGAAGAAGAAGAACAGGCGTGAACCGACAATTTTGCTATATATATTGTCCATAATTAATATGGGAAAGTCGAGACCTAATTTGATTTTGGTTTAGACGTGGAACTTCATATGTGTTTACAACTTTAATCAGAATAATAATACGTGAAAGAAAGTATTGACGTGACTGAAGTTTTAAAAATCACCAAATTGTAAGTTTGAAATATTTTCCTTCAACGATTTCTCATTATTTTGAAGAAAAGAAAAATACAAAATACAAATAATGCATTGCATGGCTTAACCGATATACCAACGTTATCAAGATCGGGATCTTATATATAATCGTTTTCAAGTTTGCAAGATCAGGATCGGAATCATAAGATCCCATAAAAAATGATATAAAAAGGTAATTAATTGTATATATTATTTTTCCCGTATTTTAGGGTTAAATAGCTCAAAAAGATAACAGATCATTTAGTAGTTAATGACATGGTTAAATAACTTAAACGAGTATTACTGGTCATTTATCAAAGAAGATTAGCAACTCATAACTTTCATGTTATTTGTGTTAAATATTTAACACATTATTTGCTTAAACTATAAGGAAGGAAACCAATAAAAATTTCAACTTTTAAAGCTCAAAAAAAAAAAAAAACAAACACACACACACAAGTTCTCAAGCTCTTAATGAGAAAGGCTTCAGCTCTTAATGAGAAAGGTTTGAGCAGTAAAAAAACTGGAAAGAGGATCACCTCTACTGTTGCGCTTGAAGTGTTGCATGAAGAAAATAATAACAATATGAGGCTAAATCTCAAATTCTATCATCGATGAGGCTAAAACGTTAAAGGAGAAAAAGAATTATAGGGTTGTTGATCATTTACGGTTCATAAAACAGTACAAGAATGAGGCTATTCTCGATTGACCTTTGGGTAAGGAGACTAGGTCAGCCAATAAATGGGTAAAGATAATCAAAATTGGATTAAAATGTGAAAATTTTATAGATTCATAGGATCAGATCGGATCTCAATCTCGATCCTATGATCCTAACTGCAATCTTACATACTAAACGTTCCTATTACGATCCAACAAGGTTTTCATTGGTAGGATCGTAGGATCTTACGTTCCTACGATTAAGATCCCGATCTTGACAACCTTGATCTATATAATTGGTCTATTTAAGGTGCAATGGATATACAACATAAATATACATTGATATGTCCCCCTTGTCTGAGCGGGAGGTCGAGTTCGAAGGCTAAAACTGTCTCCGAAGTTTGTAACGAGAGACTTAGGTAGATTCTTAATGAAGTTGTTGACATATTGATAGCTCTATGGCATATATAGAACTAAAAGTTAGCCAATGGTTACTTTTGATGGGTTTTATACAAATAATCGTATGTGTGCATGCAACCCTAATTGGATCTATGTTTTCACTATTAGACATACAACTTTATGAACACAAAAGGAAACCTAGCATGAATCTACTATTTTCGAAATTTAGATAGGAAAATAGAATACATACCTTTTGCTATTATATAGTAATAACAACTAATTCCTTGAGTTTCCTTAGCTCTTGAAAGCAAGTACCACAAGTGTAGTACCTTTAATGGCTCACAAACACACTTTGAGTGAGAGGATGAATATGAGAGAGAGGAGGAAGGGTACTAAGCTCCAAAATTCGACTCTAGTAGGGTTTTCCCAAGGGTTGGCCGAATTCTAGTGCCTTAGGGTGCTATTTATACTTGAGGCTAGCTAGGGTTTCAAGGTGGAAACCCTAATCCTTTAGCTTAAGGCCTAAGCAAGTCCATGGACTCCTTTCCTTAAGCCCTTGGACGAAAACTCCTAGATCCTTCTAGGATTTTCGTTCAAGCCTTAATAAAGGTGATCCAATAGCCCAAAGTCTCAACTATCAAATAGTTACAAAACAGCCCCTATACTTTTAATTAATTCCTTTAATCCTGAAATTAATTCCTAATTAATTTCTGATTAAATACTAATTAATAATATGATTCCAAATTAATATATTATTCATATAATATATTAAAAAAATCATATTTATACCCCAATTTATTATTCTTAACAATAAACCAGCCTCTCTCCTCAACAGTCATCCTGTCTAGTCACCAGTGTAAAGGCAACCCAAAAGGACCATGCTCACAATCGGCTCAAGTGCATACCAAAATAGTTATGGACTTAGACACTAATCCAACAGTCTCCCACTTGGATAAGTCTAATAACTATTCTGCGTATGACTTCAGAACCTGATCAGCAATCGTAGCTTTCAAAAGCCGCAGTCAACTCTGATCTTATCAGAAGCGTGTCCTTTAGATAAGGGATCATATATTCCTCCATCCTTGATATCGTATAGACATGAGAGATGGATTGAAATCATTCTCTCAGTCTATGTGTTGTTTCTCGATTTCCGATTTACGACGACTGACAACAGACTACAATTGAACACATCAACTTAGTCCTGGCTTGGCCAAGCGCTTAGGTGTCATCACTAAATCATTGAGGGGCCCATAAATATCGCTTTTATCCCACTTTGGGTAAAAGGAACGGATAAACTTCGACTCAATGCTCGCTTGTACTCACTCACCGAATCACACACAACAATACGTTTTATAGCACCAAGTTACTGGTGCATTTACATATTATCAATGTGTAACTGACTCACAAGATATAACTCACACATCTCGGTTTCAAGAATATAAGATATTATCGTCTCACCAATCACTCGTGATAAAATCCATGAAGCGATCCAAGTGAGCGTGGGTTTAATCCAATGCTCGAATCATATTCGTAAGCACTCATGAACGTTGCAGCATACCTTTGCTATGTCTAATACACTTTAGACAATCTACAAACCAATTCATGACAATCTTCTTTCATACCTACTCCCAAAGTATGAGCGACTGTGGAACGTTCGAATAATCTTATTATTCAGGAAGTCAAAACATGCAAAGTGAAACGCAAGAATAATCGAACCCAATATGGCCCCAACCCTTTTGAGTATAAATAAAACTCCTTTTATTTAATCACCATATGGATTACACATTATTCATTGTATAATGTTTCGGGTAATCAACTTATTACTTGAATTATAACAACAATTGTCCCATGCTCTTAGCATGCACACTATGTTTACCTATGGTCCTTACTTTGTGAAATAGCATAATTGAATAACATTTTCAATAACACTCATTTCACAATTCCCAATCCTTACCACAAGTGTGAAAATACCAAATTCTTTCCACTTATAGAATATGTTAGATTTTAACATTTTATGCAACGATCCTTTCGTAATGTCATAGCGCCAAAGACAAAGATTTTGCCAATGAAATTACAAAGTTATCTATTGGAGATTGTTGCAAGACAATTCCATAGATATGAAGTCTCACATTCAAAGTACATTCCTTTGAACATCCTTCTTGCATAAAAGTTTCTAATCTAGACATATAGATTCTTAATGTCTAACTCCCAATAAGAAAACATTTCCATATTTTCCATATGACAACTCATCATATCTAATAATAATAATGTCAGTATGGTCCTTCCATTACTATACTTCCAAATGCTCACAAGCAACCAATCCTCGGTGAACCTTAGATTGTCCTCTTGACAGTTGATTAACCACTTTTAGTCATATCTGGTTCCAATCCTTTTTCCCTCTTAATGCCCTAGGCATTTGGAAAATTTTAGAACACGCGAATATTATAGCATATGCAATCGATCCTATGCCCGAAGCATATGGGATACGATTCATAATGTCTTACATAAAGACGTGATACTTGACCAGTCTTTTGCTACAATATCTTTATTTTCCATGTTCTCATAATTCGAACTATGAAGAGGGATGTCGTAATCATAATCGAATTTGAGAACACAATCTTAATTTTATATGACTAAATTATATTAAAAAAAATCAATCCAAGCTTTTAGAACTGAAATGAAGTATAAAATTCTCTCCCTTAATTATAGCAAAACAACTTTTCAACCCTTGCAACTTTGCGAATTGAACCTTTTGTTTTCTATAATTAATATTGCTATCTCGCAATACTTACCATAATTATCATGCTCCCACTCACATGATGATTATATCTTTTCCAAGCATAACACTTATGCTCTACTAGCTTTGACACGTATTCAGAAATTAGCTGGACTTCTAGAAACCAATACTTATTGACTTTCTTTACCAAAGTTCAGATTTCTGAAACCAAGACGCTTCGATAAGCTTTTATCAAAGCTTCTCGAACTCATACACCTTTCCTTAGATAACCCATATGTGTGTTTAAACAATTTTAGAACTTATAACAATAAGTCTAAAATGTTCAGACCCATTTGCCATTTCCTACAATTCGAACTATGAAGAGGGATGTTGTAATCATAATCGCATTTGAGAAA